AGAAACTGTTTTCCAAGAAGCAGCGGAGTCCTGGGACTTCCTGTGAGTTCACGGAGACAGCCCTCTGCCTGGCTCCTCCAGGATGCCCCACCTCCACTGCCCGGCTGGCTCACGGGGCGTCTGGAGGGAGGCGCCCGGCCCTGACCCAGTGTGTAATTACCAGTGCGCGGTGGGGGCGCACTGCGGTGATAGTGACACCAGGTGATAGTGCCAGGAGTGGCTGCACATCCGTCTTCTCAGAGCTGAGAGGACCCCCGGTCAGTTGTCCTGCAGTCCTTTCTGGACCTCGCTCCCTCCATACGCTGCATGACAGGTGCCTGCCCGTTTCCAGCAACAGACTCCCCTCCTCTTCCTGGGAGCCCCGTCCCTAGGAGGTTCCAGAAAGACCTGCTTCCTGAGGAGCCCGTAGCCGCCGCCGCCCAGCTCTCCTTTGTTCTCACATCCTGGTTCTGTTTGAGGATGACAGAGACCACGTCTCCCTCTTCTTGCTGAGCGGAGGCCCGTGTTACCCAGTGGCACAAATGCACCCACTGCACAGGAGGCACTTGGGTTGGGATGGTTTGGAGGAGGAAGTAGGAGTTGAGCTCATGCCCATGTGGGTTTCTCTGGCTTTTGGGTAACTCCTCCTCCGCGGCTGGGCTGGGATGGTCAGGGGATTCGGGATTGGAACAGGGCTGGTCTGAACCTGGTCCTGCACTCCAGAGGACCCTTGATCTTGTGCTCTGGCCTCGCCATCTACACCATTGAGTAACATCCGCACCTGACTCTAGGCACCGAAGGGCATCGAGGGCATGGTGCGCAGTACACCGCTGCTCACGTAGTGACCCTCGCCTGGTGTCGGGAAGGCCCTCCTGGATAGCAAATTCCCTGAGATGTCCACCTTATCGCCACCTCAGTCTCCAAAGCCCAGCACAGAGCTTGGCACAGCGGACCCTACTAGAACATGCCTCCAGTGATGACCGGATGACTGACAGCGCGCCTGAGCCGCCAGTCCTGCCCTGTGCTTTCCGCAGCTCAGTGCTGGGCCACGGGCCAGGCGGTCCACCATGTCACCTGAGGCTGGATGCCCCCAGGGGACTTTGCACAGGCCGAAGGCCTCCCTGCCCTTCAGAATGGGAAGCAGCTGCCAGTCTGGCCTAGAGAACGGAGCACGACACCTGTGTTGTCACATTTTATTGTAAATAAAATTTTTTGCTCTTTTGCCTCCCTGTCCCCTTCAAGGGAACCATGGCCACTTCAGACATTTTAGTCCTTTATGTCAAGGAGCTGGGAGGATGGGAGGCAGAGGGGAGGTCCAGGATGAAGTCCCTCTGGTCTTGTCACTCTTGACCAAGCATCAGCATGGCGGCTCGTTTCCCTGGGCCATGGGCAGAGCATGTGGGCTGCGTGGAGGGGGACGCCGCGGCCTCTCCAGCAGCAGAGCAGCCTCCCGCCCTCATCTTTATTGGGTTCCTGGGTGTTTCTGCTCCAGGCCTCCTGGGCAGCGCAGCTTCATGACTGGTGCGTGGAACCTCCAGCACCCCCACTGCCACTGTCAGCCCGGACGGGAAGGGGCAGAAGGCCCGGCACGGCCTGCTTCTCCCCGGCAGCCCCGGGACTTGGAGCAGAGCCTGCCTTTCCCACGCCTTGTGGGAAGTCCAGGTCCCCACTCTGCCGTGCAAGGGTCAGGGCTTTAGAGTGTCACCGAGGCCCTGCGCCTCACAGCTTTACAGTGGTCAGGTTGGAGGGCATGAGGACAGGTGTGGGAAGTGGAAGGTTCAAGAAGGATTCCAAAAGTCCTCTCCTGCAGTCCGCAACCTGAGCTGTTTCAGATGGAAACCTAGTGCATTAAAAGGTGACGTGTTGGGCTGGGGACATGGCTCAGTGCTTGCCTTGTATGCAGAAGGCCCTGGGTTCAATCCCTAGCATCACAAAAAACAGAAAACAAACAAACAAACAAACAAAAAACACTGTGGCATGTTATTTCATTAAACCCACCTGGCAGTTGCCAGGGAAGGGTCCATCGGTTGTTTGATGGACCCTCATGTCTGAGCCCACTGTTTGCCCCTTCGCACGTGGAGTGCACTATGCTGGGTGCACCTGGGTGTTCCTACCAGGTGGCAGGTACAGAAGGTACTGCTGGTCACGACAGGGAAGGCTGTGCGCTGCTAGGATGAGGGTGTCCCCAGGGTCAGGCCTGGGTCAGTTGTCTCTGCATCTCACTGGTTTGTCCGGGAAGCTTTCTGTACCTAAAGTCACTGTTCGATCTTGGGTTCACCCCCTTGTCCCCAGGAGGGAAGCTCAAGGACAGGGGGCAGTTGATCTCTGCCTGTTTTCTCAGCCTTGACGTTACAGAGATCAAACTTGAACGTGGGCTTCCTGGTCCCCTGTCCAGAGTTGCGATGGGATTAAGTGGATGATGGGAGGAGAAGGCTCAGGAACAGAGGGAGGCCATTGTGATGGTGGCCGTCATCGCCGTGCAATCACCTGGGCTTGTGACTGCTGTATCGGAGCTTCCCTCCTTCCACAGGGAGGCTGTGTGCTCTTGGAAAAATAAGGAACCCATTCCCCTTGAGGGCTGGGCCTCCCAGGGCAAGTCCTCTGCTGGGCCATCTGTGGCTGGGATGGTCCTCTGACAGGGAGGGGCCCTTTCCCTCCACCACCCTGCACACTGCTTCCTCCGTGTCATCTGGACAGTCCCTCAGAGCCCTTTGGTACCTCCAGCAGGTACCCCCACGTCCCCACCACAGGGTCTGTCCAGCTAGAATGCCTGTTGTCAGGTGCTCGTTACCTGTCAGGTAGACGCTTTCCCTGGAAGGGAACCTTCCTCTCCATCCCAGACTCAGGGCTGCTGCCCTGTGACTTCTGTGCCCCAAGGGCTGTGTGTCCATCTCCCTCCTGCAGCAAAGGGCCCCACATGGCCACCATCAGCCGCCACTACCCTGGGGGGGGGCTCCACCTGGGAAAACACTGCCCGTCAACACGTAAGTGTGTCACTGCCAATAATAGTGCGAAGGCTCCAAATCTGAGGGCCTTTCTAGGATCCTTTTACTGATTAATTAGGTCAGCATCTCCAAAATCAATTTTCAGCGGAGTTGCTGTGCTCCCCGCCCAGCCCGGCCGCGATGCTGGCCCGGGAGGCGGTTCCAGGCCTCTGGCAGGGCCCATGCCTGGGTCTACCTATGTGGGAAGAAAGTCATGCCATGTCTCTTCTGTGATTATCCTGACTTTTTATTTTATCTGCCCCCCCCTTCAGATCTTCCATTAAGCCCCCGTAGATCCTGCTTCAAGCAGGCAATTAGACTAACAACGTAATTATATCCCTCCATGCTAATTGTAACTGGTTTAGGGGAAAAACAAAGAGCACGAGGCGTCAAAGTCTCTGGAAACTGGAAGCAGCACTTGTAATTTCCAGGTATTTCTCGTCCCCAGTTGCTGGCAGGCTGGTGCCTGTGTTTGTCCACGTAGCTTGCCTTTGGCTCAGAATGTCACCAGGACGCACGTAGTCCCAGTCTCCTCTCCTGAGCATGCGCCGTGGCCACTCCCCGTCCTGGTCCCTGCCCTCCTGGCTTTCTGCTTCCTGGGTCCTGGCTCTGCTGGCTCCATGAGAGCCTGGGGGAAGGGTGCAGGCGAGGAGGGTGAAGGGTGCAGGCGAGGAGACCGACGGCCTTGGAGGTGATGACTCTTCATCCTCTCTGCCAGTGCTCCATGATGCCCAACAGCCATGGGTTGATGACCCCTTGGTCCTCCCCCAAAAGGTTGGGGAGGCCAGTGCTGGCCCTGGCCCAGGGTTTGAGCGGGGCTGGGTGGCGGGGATGCTGTGGGGAGACATCTCCCACCCCCACCCCCACCCCCACCCCTGCTGTGCTTGGCATTTCCTGTCTCTTCAGGTCAGGCTGGTGGTTGGCAAAGGAGGCTTGGTCCTTGCCTCTGGTGTGCCCTCAGCCTGGGGAGGGAGGTGGACAGTGATGGAGCCCTGGGATCACTGGGACAAGTAGACATCAGAGGGGCTCCAGACCTGCCTTTGGTGGCAGGGTGAGATGGCATTGGGGACTAGGGTGGTGGTGACGTCTGGGAGGCTTCCTGGTGCAAGGGGGGCTTGGAAGATGGGGGAAGGGCTGACCCAGCAGGGAGTGTGGGGGTCTAGGAACGTCAGGTGTGGCTTGGCGCAGGTGAGAGCCCAGAGGAGGAGTGTGGTTCTCTCTGGGGAGGGAACTGGGATTGCTGCAGAAGATGCTTGAGCAGGGGATGTCAGGGACAGGGGGACAGACGGAACCCCCTAGAGAGGCGGGACAGGCAACAGGGGGAGGTTCCTGGCCGGGAGGAGCCTTGAGCAGAGGCAGGAAGGCCTGAGAGGAGCCTCAGCAAGGCCGAGGTGGTTTTCAGGAATGATGACGGGCTGCAATGGGACTGGTCGAACTGTGTGACCTTGGGTGGTCACTGAGCCTCTTTCTTCACCAGGTGAAAGTGAGGGCCTGTCAGAGATAAGGTCTGCAGTGGCTCCAGCCCACCTACCCAGAGTGGGCATCAGGGTGGTGTCTGGCTAGGGACCTGGTGCCCCAAGGCCTGGGGCTCATCCCTGTCCACCCTGGTGTCTCCAGAGGTGGGGACGTTGGACAGCTGGATGGTGACAGGCTCTTGGGCACATGGTGGCTTTCCAGTTGTCATGCCTTATGCCACCTTGGCCATGTGCCTCAGGAGCACCGTTCAGTGCATACTCCTGTCCCTACAAACAGGGTTTCCTGCTTACTGATGTGACCTGTGTCCCTCTGGACGGCTGTCACTCAAGTGACCCCTGAAGCTGGGGCTAGAGATGCCATTGAACCCCACTTCTTTTGGGGACCGCTCTCAGACTCTTGTCCCCATTTGGGCCACAAGGTGCCAGGTATTCCCACCCTGGGTTCCCTATCAGTTGTGCAGACGGGCGTTTCATTAAAATTTCCATTAACTATTTTTTCTTTTTTTAAAGCCAGTGAGCAATTTATAGATTCATTAACTTTTTACTACACTTGTGAAACCAGGAAGAGGAGAATAAAGGAAATGAAATATTTGGTCTGCTGCGTTTCACTCAAAGATGGTGGCCCTTCCGTGAGGAGCCCAGGAAGCTGGGCGAGAGGTGGGTGTGAGGAGCGTCGAGAAGGTCTGGGCTCTTCCGGAAGCTTCCCTCCCCGCTGCCCCACTCCTGCACTGGGGGGCTGGTCCATCCCTTTGTTCAAACCCACTGGTGTTTTTTCCTCACCACATGGCTGTGTGCTCTCTGATGATGGCCTCCCCAGGGAGCTGACCACTTCTGGTGACGTTGAGTGTGACACTGGATGTGTTTTGTTTTACTGAGGTGCACTCGGACCCCTGGTAGCACCCTCATTGCCTTTCATCTTGGGGTTAGCGATGGCATGATTGTTGGGGATGGGCTTTGGGGCCAGAGAGCTCAGGCTCAGCCACGTGACTTGGGATTAGTGAGTCCCTCCGTCTGAGCATCTGTTTCTCTATCTAGAAACTTATAATAGTGTTAGGATCTCCAGGAAGTCCCAGGAGAGTGACGCTGATGTGCCTTGGCATGCGCACGGGTAAGCGGTGGCAGGTGAATGGGCGCCGAGTCTCCTGGCCCTCTTCACACCCTAAGCCGAGCAGTGGGACTGCTCCTCCCCAGCCGTCCTCGGCTGGACTCAGTTCCCTGAAGGGCAGGCCGCACCCCCTCGTGCCACGTCAGTTTCCCCATTGTAAAGGGCACAAGCAGGCCCTGGCAAACAAGGCTGTCGGTGAGATCAGACGCACTTTGTCAGGCTCTTAGAGTCGCTGGCACCTAAGTGTCGGAGCACATTAGTGCTCACCCTGTTGCTGAGGTCACCGCAACTTGAAAGTCTCACTTGCATGGTCCACTGTGTCTGGAAAACAGTAGGCTTCAGGACTGCTCCCAGAGCTCCTGAGAAGGAGGAGGCTCAGTGCTTGAAGGTCCTCCAGGGCCCTCTTGCTGGGCGCCCAGGTGGAGAGGGAACGCCCTGAGAGCTGGAACTGCCCCGTAGGTGGTGGTCCACCCTCAGGACACACAGTAGAGGCAGATGTTGGTAAAGTCACAGATCTTCAGTCTGGAGTAGTTGGCACCCCGCCTGGTCCCACTCCTGCTCTCAGGTGGGCAGCATGAGTGGTTTGAAGTAGGCTGGTTCCCCCCAAAGCAGTAGTAATAGGAGGCTGAGCAGGAAGGAGGGAAAAAGCCACTCGTGTTTTAATCATCCCAGGCACGAGCTTTTGGGGAGTCTGTGTGCGTGGAGCCTTTGTTGATGTAAATGTTACATTGAGTCAGGTGGATTGTTGATTCTGTCCTTGTCACTTTGTCTTAGCACGTGTTTTCCACGCAGCTCCAGCATCGTCTCCGTGGCTTCGTAAGCAGGGATTAGCTGGCATTACTGTGCACGTTGGTTTTCCCCAAATATGTGTTGTAAACGATGCAGGGGACGTCTGTGCGCAGGAAACTTTTTTCTTCTTTTGCACAATATTCAGACTTTGCTTCTCAAAGTGAAGTCCTGGAGTCCAAGGACTTGAGAGTGGACCAGGCTCTGTGGCAGTGGATGCGGCAGCTGCAGCACACATCTGCTGTGCTGGTGCCTGAAGAAGAATCCTTGAGGGAGACCCGGCGTGCCAGTCTGGCCACCCTGCTGCCTCCTCGACCTGCATCGTAGCTGGGGTTGGTGGCTGCTGACTTGTATTATTTGTCCAAAGACTTTGGACCAAACCGTGAGCTGTGGCTGGAATGTTAATTTTTTGCATGCCAGGCTGAAAGCTCATACTCAGAGCCCGTGATCAGAGGCCCACATGGGCACCCCAGAGGAGGGGTGAGGCTGGCCCCTGTGATAGGGGTTGCAGATTGCGTGCGCCCACGCGCACAATCTCTTTCCAGGCCTTTATTTTCTCTTGCATCCAACCAACCTTCTGGCTCTAAAGGCTGAGCGTGAGGGACAGCGTGTGTGTTTTCGGCTGAAGTGTTCACGAGGGAAGGCCATGTGAGGCAGGAGGCAAGCCCAGCTTTGAGGATCATGTTGGTGGCAGCCTGGTGCAGGGGAGGTCAGCGCTTTGAGTGGACCTGTGAGAACACAAGTCTTCAAATGCCGCATCACAGGACTTTCTGTGATTTCCCAGTTTGAGTTGAATGTGGGCGTTTTTCCGGAGTCCCCTGCTTTCGCTGTGATACTGGTTAGCACTGACGTTGGGTTAGGCTGACTTCTTGAAATGAGTTTGGTGGTTTTAGAGGCACTGTCAGGACGGTGACAGTGGAGACGGTGGTGGGCTTACGTAGCCCTCAGTCTGTGCCCCAGCCGCTGTCTAGAAGTCATGTGTATGAGCTCTTTTAATGACTTCATTAAATCAAGTCATTTCATAAAAGAGGAGCAAGGTGTGGGATCTTGGAAAGGGGAGCTCGGTCTTTGTCTTGGAAGGTGATACGCGTTTGAATCTCAGCTCCGCTAGTCACTGTGGGACTTTAGAGCAACTTGACCTCTGCTCCTTCCTCTCTGATATGGAAGTCACGACTCCTGCCCTGTGAAGGGCTAAGAGAAGCAGTGGAAGGGGAGCCGCCCCAGTCACCACACACATGCGCCTGGAGCCCTGGTGGAAGGTGCTGTTCCCCCCTCACCCCAGGCTTGGGCCTCCGAGTCGTCTTCCCCTTTAAGGATGTTGTGTGGACGCTCCCTGAGCGCTGGGCTGTCTGGTGGGCACTGGGGAATCCAGAGGCATGGCCTCTGCCTGGGGAAGATGGATGGTGCAGCTGGAAGACAGGTCATAAAAAGATGACTGAGTAAACCAGCCGCTTGATCAATACCGTTCAAATGGCTCAGGCAATAAGTGCTTTAAGAAGACTTGGGAGGGCGGTGGCCCTGTGGCCCGGGGGAGGCAAGATGGAGCCTTAAAGCAAGGGAAGGCCCCTTTCTTTCTTTGCAGAATGTAGTTAAATTGAGCCTTCAGCAGCCGGGACAAGAGGCTCACAGGGCTAAGCCTGCTCCTGTAGGCTAACAAGGCTTTTGCCTTTTATGCTGGTATTGAAGAAACGACACAGAAAGTCCCAGTGTGGATCCGGAGTGGCCTTGAAGTTGGAAAGTTCTGGGGCCCTCAGAGTGGATTTCCCTCAGCCCAGCTGGCCTCAGACTTCTTTCGTCTAGGGAGTTCTCCACAGAGCTGGAGGTGAACTCTGCTGGGGGACCCAGGCATCCTGCGTGTCACGGGACTGGGATCTGGTGGCCAGGCGTCTGTTTCCCAGACTTTCAGATTCCTTTAAACCATAGGCCCCATCCCTTCCTCGTCCTGCTGTGCTTGGAATGGTACCCAGGACTACATTTCCCAGGAGCCCTTGCTCTCCTCTGGGCTGCTCAGCAGGAAGATTGGAATCTGGGAACAGGAAGCCTGGGTTGTAGGTCCCCACTCATCCTGGGCTCTCCCAGTGGTTTTTGCATAGCCCAGCCCTCCCTTTTTGTGGTCCACCCCCTTGGGCAGCGCTTGCCTTCTGCTGGACAGCTCCAGCTGTCGGCAGTGCCATCTCTTTCCCTTTCTCAGGACAGGCCTGGGCATGGGAGCAGCAGGTCGTGGACTGATCCCGGTTGCCCCTCTGTCCTGTTGAGCCTCTCCGTTCATCCGTCACCACGCACTCAAATCCCTGTGCAACACTGCCTCTATTTAGAAGACCTAGAGGGCTTTTTCTGGTTTTCTGGCCCAGACCCTACAGGACAGTCCCCGATCAGATTCCTCCCCTCCACATGGTCCCATGGAAGCCACTGTATAATCACGTCTGCCCTAATGAATTTAGAACACAAGGATTTTTTTTTTCTTAGCAAAGAAAACAGAATTGTAGAATAATTTCAAAATAGTCTGGCTGCCTGGATTCTTTAGCGTGCACCCATTGGGATGTGTAGAATTACACTGTCTTTTTTCTTCATGGGCCTCTCATTTAGAGGAAAATGGGTGGACCCTTCCTTTCCAACTGTGAGAGGAACTATTTTGATTATGAAAAAAAAAAAAATTCATGCAGTTGTTCTCCCCTCCCTGCTTGCCCGGACTGTTGATCTTGTGATATATTTATAGAGATCGTGGTCGGCTGACCAGGAGTTATTTTGCAATAGGAATTCATAAGATTTCTACTTTGAGCTTGTGTTCCAGACTTTTCTGTGTTTCTTTCTTTTTTTTCGATCTTACTTAGAACAAGTACTTTGCCTTTCTGTAGTTATTTCTTTTCCACAACAAAAGTAAGCCCTGCTCTTCCCTCGTATTTTTTCCCCGTGTGTATTTATTGTCTCTGAACTTCTCCCTTCTTTGATGTCTCCTTCTACTTCAAATTTTAGCAGACCACAGCTCCTTTACGTAGGAACGTTTTTGCAAATGAGAATGTAGTGACCTGGAAAAGGGTGTTGGGGGGGGGGAGGTCAGGAGACCTCAATTTCTCTGACTACACAAGGACCATGTTGGCCTCCAAGAGGGGCAAGCAGCCGCTGGGCCCACCGCAGACAGCAGACAGCACTACCTTGCTGAGCTCCCGTGGCCCTCCTTCCCCACGCTGTGCCAGGCAGCCACTCCTCTTGGATTACAGCGGCCTTGAAAGTGCAATGGTCTGCCATTCTTGGACTAGATGATCCCCTAGACCCGTCACTGCCACGGTTCTCTGAGTGCTGGCAGTGCCATTCTAGTTTTAGTCCATTTAACTGACCTCAACGAAGCCCCATCTGCAGCACAGCCCTGGGTGTGTAGATCCACAGGGTGCTCAACCCAGCCAGCCTCGGGAAACCTGTAGTGTGGCCAGGGCAAGGCTGCAGAGTTGTGGTGTTTGGGCCGCTTGCAGGCTTGTCCTGTGGTCCTGGAGGAGCAAAGAGGGGAACCACAGAGTCAGCAAGGTGCAGAACGAGGAGGATGTCACAGGCCATATCATCCAGCTCTCCACTTACAGTTGGGGAAACGGAGGTTTAGAGGGAAGAGGGCTTTCCTGAGTTGTGTTTTTCTTTCTTTTTTCTTCTTTTTTTGGGGGGTGGGTGGGTGCTAGGGATTGAATTCAGGGGCACTTGACCACCGAGCCCCATCCCCAGCCCTGTTTTGTATTTTATTCAGAGACAGGGTCTCACTGTGTTGCTAATGCCCTGTTTT